GTGGGATTGACCGTCACATTATAATGCCCCCGCGGCTGAAAGGGCGAGCATGTTTGGTGTGATGGGGATTCGAACCCGCGACCCTGAGATTGCGAGTCGAGCCGGGCCTTTTGAGTGAAGTAGTACAATAACTTTATTTTATTATCAATATAATTTGGCAAGGTTTTAGAAAAGAGAAAAAGGTCAGTTCACCAATATTATCTTTGAGAAGCAAGTCAGACATCTTTATTCAACAATTAGATAGATACAGTTATTAATTGCAATTCCTGTTTCTACTACTTCATTCTTAGACAAATATAATCTATTGAAGTATGAAAATGCTGGTTTTATGTGCTCTGTCTGAATGATAATTTTGATGGAGTTTTTGATATACCAAAGAAAGGTTTTTTTTGTTTAGCAACCTGCCTGAAAATCATTAAAATGTACATTAAATGTATAATGCAAATCAACTTCTGCCTATAATATAAATGATATAATAAACTATACCATCTGTCCTTGGTATATCGCTCTACCGAATTTGAGGCAAATCATTACCATTGATCAGCGCCCCTAGTAAGGACATAATGAACTATTTATTTCTCTGTCAGATCGGTTTACTCACAGTTGTGGTCAGTTTCAAAAGTGGAAAAGTTATTCGCTGTAGCTATGATGAAATTGATCATTTGTCAATTTCGATAGTTTACTGCAGAACTATGGCCTTTAATAATCTAAGTACATCTGAACATTAGATAGACCTTGTTTACCGTTGGAACTGGATTTGTTCGATTAAACGCCTTGAATTCGATTTTTAGTTTTCGGATTAATATTTTGGTAAAAACTGATATTACTTTGGGTATTTAAAGTTATTATATTTTTGTGTTTGTATAAGAAGAGTATATTAGTAGTTATTTTTTTCTGATACTGTGAAGTATTGTTTTTGTCTGATAAAATTATTACAGTTGTGTATATTTTACATTTTTAAAATCTCTTTTTCAGTAGAAAATTATTTTTATTATTACCAAAATCTTAATTCTTAAAACTATATTTTAGAAAAGACCTTAAATAAGAACAATTTTGATGAACGATGAAGATCCCTTGTATGAGAAGTTTACCAGTTTTTTATTTACCTTACACCGTCTTAAACTTCTCTTTTTACTCTATCTTATTAACATTGCTTTTGATTGTACATTATATGGTACACTTTCCTAGAATATTTCTTGTTGTAATAATTCTTAAACCTTTGAGATGAGTTGGAAAAGTCCTGATACACTTGAAACAATGTTGTAATTTATGATAATATGGCTATAAATGTGTCTTGTTTTATTACTGAAATCTAATGATACACTTAGAACAGTGTTGTAATTTATGATAATATGGCTATAACTGTGTCTTGTTTTATTACTGGAAAACTAATGATACACTTAGAACAGTGTTGTAAGTAGTGATGATACGATTATAACTTATGATACATTAAAAACAGTGTTGTAATTAGTGATAATACGGTTATAACAGTGCATTGTTTTATCACTGGAAAACTCATGCTACAATAATAACAGTGTTGTAACTTGTAATAATATGGCTATAACTATACATTGTTGTATTACTGGAAAATTAATGATACACTAAGAACAGTGTTGTAATTTGTGATAATACGGTTATAACAGTGCATTGTTTTATCACTGGAAACTCATGCCACAATAATAACAGTGTTGTAACTTGTAATAATATGGCTATAACTATACATTGTTGTATTACTGGAAAATTAATGATACACTAAGAACAGTGTTGTAATTTGTGATAATACGGTTATAACAGTGCATTGTTTTATCACTGGAAAACTCATGCCACAATAATAACAGTGTTGTAACTTGTAATAATATGGCTATAACTATACATTGTTGTATTACTGGAAAATTAATGATACACTAAGAACAGTGTTGTAATTAGTGATAATACGGTTATAACTACGCGCTGTTTTATTAATGGAAAACTCATGACCCAATAAGAACAGTGTTGTAACTTGTAATAATATGGCTATAACTATACATTGTTGTATTACTGGAAAATTAATGATACACTAAGAACAGTGTTGTAATTAGTGATAATACGGTTATAACTACGCGCTGTTTTATTAATGGAAAACTCATGACCCAATAAGAACAGTGTTGTAACTTGTAATAATATGGCTATAACTATACATTGTTGTATTACTGAAAAACTCATGATACACTAAGAACAGTGTCGTAATTGTGATAATAGGCTATATCTATGCATTGTTGTATTACTGAAAAACTCATGATACACTAAGAACAGTGTCGTAATTGTGATAATAGGCTATATCTATGCATTGTTGTATTACTGAAAAACTCATGATACATTAAGAACAGTGTCGTAATTGTGATAATACGGCTATATCTATGCATTGTTGTATTACTGAAAAACTCATGATACATTAAGAACAGTGTCGTAATTGTGATAATACGGCTATATCTATGCATTGTTGTATTACTGAAAAACTCATGATACACTAAGAACAGTTTTATAATTTGTGATAATACGGCTATAATTATGCGTTGTTGTATTACTGGAAATTCATAATACATTAAGAACAGTGTTGTAATTTATGATAATACGGCTATAATTATGCGTTGTTGTATTACTGGAAACTCATAATACATTAAGAACAGTGTTGTAATTTATGATAATACGGCTATAATTATGCGTTGTTGTATTACTGGAAACTCATGATACATTAAGAACAGTGTTGTAATTTGTGATAATGCGATTATAACTATGCGTTGGTTTATTACTGAAAAGTCATAATACATTAAGAACAGTGTTGTAATTTGTGATAATACGGCTATAATTATGCGTTGTTGTATTACTGGAAAACTCATGATACACTAATAACAGTGTTGTAATTTGTGATAATGCGATTATAACTATGCGTTGGTTTATTACTGAAAAGTCATAATACACTAATAACAGTGATGTAATATGTCATAAACCGGCTACAGCTATGCAATGTTTTATTACTGGATGTGTGAAAATGTATTGAAATATGTGAAGAATGTAAAAGAATAAACTTCATAGTAAAATGTTTTTAATAAATTGTATATTTTTAAGATTTAACTACAGACATTGTATTTAATTGTCTAACTTCCGGTCTAGTCATATTAGTGACATTTTTATCGGTTGATTATATAATTTTCTAGGCCCTTTTTTTTTACAACTATCAACCGCATTACATATCATCCAGCCTGTATTAGAAACACAGTCAACTCTGTAATCTTGAACATATAGCTGTAAAACAAACAATATCTGTACGCTTGTTTGAGTAGTTTTATCACTAATCCGTAAAAGATGTCAGTCTAAAGGGTTATTTGGAACGTAATGCTAAAGTTCAGAATTGCAACACCTACTATGAAGAAGCTATACTTTATAATCTTGTTATGAACGAATACGTCAACACTTAAGTTAGTTCGGTAAGGGCAGTATCACATGGTTGTTATTATTGTTAGAATAACCGAATCTTAAGATACTCTGTACTTACTCATAATTAACAAGTCTAGTCGTTGTATGGTTTGTAGTTTTAAGTATAGAGACGAAAGTTTGTTTGTTCAAAGCTACACAAGAACTATCTGCACTAGCCTACCAGTCATTTTGTACTGATAGACTAGACGGAAGGTAACTAATAAATAACACTCACCGCCAATTTTTGTGCTATTTTTGTTGAATCAGTTGTGGGATTTGACCGTCACTCTTATACGCACTCACGGTCCCAAAATGCGGAACGTTTTTTTTTTTTGCGAAACATGGGATTCACTGTTCGGGCACATGTTATAGGTCACACTCGGCCCATGTTAAAATTAAGTCTCCAGTTTCTAGTTATTGAAGTTCAGTAAGGAAGTTACAAGTTCAATGCCAACAATGTTTATATATAAAATAAAACTATTAACACATTCAAATACATCCAGAAGTATGTATTTCCTACCCCTTCCGCCACAAGTGTGTGTTCCTTTGTGTTTCAGTCAAATGAAAGTTGATAGTAACTTCTGACTCCTTAATTTGTCTGATTTGAATTAGTTTAATTTCATACTTTACTACATTGTAATCTTTAAATAACTCATTTATGGATACAAGCTTTTAACCAACTATCGCTTATACACTAGCCAAATAAATATCAATACATTTTAAAAAGAAAAACACCGAAGTCCAATTATAACTAACATTTTCTGTAGAGATAAAAGCAAGAAAGTACCCAACAGAGGAAGCTTTGAGAACATTTTAAAAAGTAAAAAATATTGTTAATCAACATTTCTATCTTGTATGAACTGTTAATTTTTGAGTAATTGTAGTGACAAATATAATAATCTATCTGTGAAATACTGACATATTAACTAGTAAGTGTAGAAATAATTAATATAAATGGGTTTGGTAAGAATTGTTGGTCTAAAAGGTTTAAAGAATAAAAGGTCGTCCAATATCTATTATTAACAACTGGAGAAAAAAATGTTGAAATTGCTTTCGAGTTTATTTATTACAAACAAACAGTAAGAATGGACAGAAAAAAACGAAGACGAAATTAATATCCTAGGTTGGAGTTCGAATTAGTGGACTGCATAAATGACTAACGATATATATATATATATGAACATAGCTTTTTACGTGGACCCAGATTTTCTTTAAAACAAAGAAGCAGGAAAATCTTACAGGAGTACAAATGTATAGCAAATAACATCCAACGAAACACAGTGGAAAAATGTTTTACTCAGTATTTATTAACTTCACACAGTCTGGCTACCATGGTAATGATTGATACAATAAATCAGCCAAAACAGTGGTACTAAACTTATTCAGTATATATATTACCATGAACACCTTTATGTTATACATCAATTATCTGGATACCCATTCGATCAAAATGTGGGATAAATGCATATAAATTCTTGTAAAGTTTCATAATTTTTGTCATGGACGAGGAATGTATTTAAGTAATTTTGATAAAAGACGAGGTATCTTTCTACTAGTCAGAAAAGATTCGTATTATGAACTGTAGAATAACTCCTGGTACAAAACCCCTTTGATTTTTAAAGTAGCAAACTGATAGTGAAACATCAAATACTTGACGTTTTTTAACAATGAAGATGAAGACGGTTGATAAAACATTTACACAGTTAAAGCTCAACTGTTTCGTAATATATTTGTTTTTCCTTCCGTTTACCACTTTATCTAAGTGAACTAGTGATTAATGATACTATAGCATTAATTAATAAATATCTTTGTAACACTATTTTCACATTTCACTCAAGATGGATTATATGTAATTGGAAACGTTCGAACCTTGTAAATAAAATGTTTTGTGTTTTGTCAACCGTCTTCTTCTTCTTTATAATTACACTCAACGTTTTCCTTTGAAGATTTCTCTGATCGTCTACTTCCTACATACAGTGAAAAGGTGTGAGTATTTTACACTGTGTTTAACACAAATGCATTATTGTTAGTATAGACATACACTAAGCTAAAACTACTATTTTTTGAATAGTATATTCATCATCCGAATACCTTTACATAAAACAACAGTAATCCGTTCGCTAGGAGTCACTTACAAAACAGTCTTACTGATCTTGAGAGGTTATGCATTACTCCAAATTAAAACTAACTATAACAGGGCTACATATTATTACACATACAAATTCAATTTACTTGCATCACATGAAAGGCGAAACCTTTCAATAATCGTATTAATATCTTACAATGAGAGGCTTCAGGTAATTTCATTTACATAACCATGTAAGCGTAACACCGTACTCGCAGTTACAGAATAACGTTTGTTAGTCAGAAGACTATCTAGTAAGGTTTGAAAATTATGATTCCATCTTTTCTAAATAATGAGCGCGTAAAAAACAAAACTTTGCTTACCTATTATGTTTATACGAGTGAATCATCTATTTTCCATTTACATTTTTCTTAAAATGTTCTCATATAAATAAGTGTCTTATTCTTTGAAGCATTCTTAAAAAGCCTCTTTTAACTAAAGCAGAAAAATTCATTCCTACGTTTCTTCATTCGCTAAGCAGTAGTTTACTTACACTTCTGTTCCTTCACATACACATCACCAGCTCTTTGTTTCATGAAGTTGCTGCTAGTACCTTTTCGCGCTGATTAGATATTCCAAGCAGTTGCAAGTACAACAGTATTAAAACCACGAATATAACTTGAAGATGATGATAATTATCTCCAATAACCGGTGGGGGGTTTAAAAACCCAGTGATAGTTCCTATTAAAGAATGTTACATGTGATGCTTGAGTCATAAATAAAACTCGGGAGAACTGGGATTGCTAGTTGCACCACTGGACACACTGGACAGTGACCTCTGGGAACAGTCGTGATTCCTGTTACCGCTAACTTGCTGCTTGTACAAATCTCTTTCTTGACATACTCTCTCCAGCTCCAGACGGAGCCGGCTCATCTCGGCTTGAAGTAATCTGTTTTTGGCCTCTAGCTCGTGTCTTTGAGCTAACCGTTTATTTCGACAATTTTGAGCGTAACCCCGGTTTTTTAAGGTTCGTCTTTTTTGCTTGAGTCTTACAACGTCCTCCCTTGGATAGCCGTGAAGTCGCTTGTTCAGTTCTCGAACGGTCAGGCTGGTCAGTACTTCGTCATTCATGGCGTGCCATGATGACTGTTCTTGATCCGAAGAGAGGCATCCACCTGAATTACTTCCCCCGTCCAACTGATAAACTGGAGAGCAGGAGATTTGATTAGAACATCTCCCCAGGAAACGAGGGAGAGGTGTGGGATCCTGATGTATAGTAGTCGACGATACATCGGTAAAATCTCTTCTATCGAGCCAATTGTCCAGGTCCGTTGCACTGTGCGGCCGCAGATCCAGAGGTTTCTGTGGGGGCATTCCTCCGTACCGAAGGGTTTGAGTGAACCACATCATGTTATCGTCCACAAAATTGGGTGTCTTAGGATCCATTGTGACGGGGGGCAAAGTTGGAGTAGCTAAGGTTGAAGTCGGCATTGCCACGAAAGTCGGAGAAGGCGGATTTTCCATGACATTTCCAGGGGCACTGACAGTTTCAGCTATGTATTTTCTTGGAGCCGGTACCAAGTTTGACATGCCATTATACACTGTTAAATGCTGCTCCGAGTTGAGTGGTATCGCAGCTACTAGCGGAATAGACTCTGTGGATACAGGCGTAACCTCGGAGACACCGAACTTGTTGCGGGCTTCTATCTCCCTCTTGACCACTTCTTCCAGATGGTCTAGATCAAAGTCATGTACATAGTCTTCCGGCATGCCATTCCCGTTTGCTTCCATGGCTCCTCGCATCCAGGACTGCCTATCAAGCTCCGACCCCACTACTCCAACTTCCTGCATCGGCTTTGCATCAAAATAGAAGCCGTGTACAAAGAGCGACCTTGGTTTTCCTCATGCGCAGTAGGAGGAGAGAGAGAGAGATTTCGCTGTTTCTAAAACCGTCTCATATTCAACACATCCAATCACAATAAGTAGCGGAGCAAACTGCATAAAATTACGAAATATGTTGTTTTATATAAATGTATTTAATTATGATTAGGCAAATAAATACGTATTTGAAGGACTAACAATCCTGCTAGACTAAGCAAACATCAAACTCAAAATTACCAGTCTATATCTTCTACGACTTTTTCTGAGAAAGAGTATTTCCACTTTTCACTCGTGAGGACGCTGTCAGCTGAGTGCTCCAATATCGCGTGTCGCATGATGTACTCGCGATGCGCGGGGCGTTTCAGGCGTTCACTCCGTGTCATTACGTGCAGGTATGTATCAGCTGTATGACTATTCCGTGACGTCATCGATGTGTTCGCTTGGCAGAGTTTTCTAGTGGCCCAAAGCTTCTCGAATATGTATGTACTCTGGTCAAAAGGACGACCCTATGAACAAAGTGTCCATCCCATCTGAACATTTGATTGGCATCTTGAAAGTTTGTGAAGACTAATTTTTACAATCACAATAGATTTGCCACCAAACATGTTGGTGTGACAACTGTCTAAATTAACTAAAACTAGTAGTGATAGTACATTTTACTTTTCAAACTATTGACGTTAAACGAAACTTCTCAGTAGCGTGAGTTGCAATATTACTTTCTGAACGATCTAGGTTAACTGAAACTCGGTAGCGAGAGTTATAATATTAATTTAAAAACTTTCTAGGTTAACTGAAACTCGGTAGCGAGAGTTATATTATTAATTTAAAAACTTTCTGGTCAACTGAAATCTCTCAGCGAGAGTTGTAATATTACTTTCAAAACGATCAAGGTTATAATATTAATTTAAAAACTGTCTAGGTTAACTGAAACTTCTCAGTTGCAGTTGAAATATTACTTTCAAAACGATCTTGGTCAATTGAAACTCAGTAGCGAGAGTTGTAATATTACTTTTAAAACTATCTACACTAACTAAAACTCAGTTGTAATAGTTGTAAGATTAATTTACAAGCAAACTAGGTGTACTGAAACTTCTCAGCGACAGTTGTAATATTAATTTCCAATCTAACTAGGTATACTGAAACTTCTCAGTAACAGTTTTAATAGTTGTAATATTAATTTCCAACCTAACTAGGTGTACTTAAATTTCTCAGCGACAGTTGTAATATTAATTTACAAGCTAACTAGGTGTACTGAAACTTCTCAGTGACAGTTTTAATAGTTGTAATATTAATTTCCAACCTAACTAGGTGTACTTAAATTTCTCAGCGACAGTTGTAATATTAATTTTTAACAGTAGAGTAGTGCGCTATTACAGCAGAGTTTTCCGCTCAATTTTATGAGATTCTTTTTTGATTACCTTAAATTTGAATAATTAAGAGCTAATAGTCCAATAATACTCCAAGTTTAGCTGCATTCATATTTCCTCATACAGTGAAGGAATTTTTGGCTTATTGCCACATTTTTCCAAATATATAGAATACATCTGTTAAATGTATATGCGAATTCAAAATGAATAAAATGAATATAGTAATAATGATGCAAAGACAAAGATCTAGTAATTTTAATGTTCTCATTATTTCTTAAATGCTGAGCAACATCGTTTTCCTGCAAGGTTCTTTACCGTTTCCTGAATTTAATGATAGATTACAATTACAGAGTAAACGGTAAATATATAGAAAATGCGACATGTTTGGACTTGTTATAGTCACTAATGGTTGAGTATTAAGGCACCATTCTTCTAAATAACTGATAACAAGTCCTAATGTGTCTGGTTATTGCCTGTTGACTGTCAGATATTTATTCAATAGACTACGTTTGTAGTGTAAGAAATATTTAAATAAATTAACTATTCGATATATAGGTCCGTCTGGAAGCTGTATTTTAGTGGTTAATTTGATAATAGCCTATTTAATGCACGAGTACGTGATTTACTGTAACAATTTAATAGAACATAAAGTAAAATGATCAGATTTAAATATATTCTATATGTTTCAACAGAGCCGCCCCAGGAGAGTAGTAAATTTCCACCCCTTAAAAATAAATTTAACTGTTCTTGATTTCATTTTTGGTTTGAATTGCAAGTTTCCTTCCACACACTGTGGAATATTACTTGTTTATTGGTTGCTACGAAATCGTTAAATCTTCGTGCTGTTCAGGATGACGGGGTGGTCCAGTTGAAACATGTATGGTTTGGAAAACTGATAATTTCATTTTGTTTATTTTATGTTTTATTAAATTTATATAGTAAATAACATGCTCGTGCATTAAATAGGTTGTTATTTAATTAACGAAGATGTATTCTACTTGTATAATTTCTCGACCAGTGGTCAGTAAGAATTTAATATAATGTTAGTAATCTAGTGTCTTAACCTACTTTTGTCTAAATATTGTGGGCTACTTGGGACTACTGACCTTTGACGTGTAATGATATAGGCGAAACGGTTGTTGTTCATGCAACTGATGATATAAATAGTGTTTCGACCACTGCTAGGTTCGTTGTATCCCAGCCGGTCTGGTGTGCTCTGTTATTGGGCGAAAGGCCTCGTCGACACTGGATATAGCACATATAGTGTGGTTGACATATTATTAAATTCTTCTGTACTTTCACCCCTAATTTCTTATAATTACAAGAAGCCCAGAGCAAACAAGGCACTTCTTTATTGTCTTGTAGTACATTGTCCTTGCCAATGGTATATCACAGATAAGGGGGATAAGATACTAAAGAGATATCTGAGACCAAGAAGATAAGACGCCATTATTATATCACAGATAAAGGGAATAACCAAAGAGATATCTTAGACCAAGAAGATAAGATGTCAATATTATATCACAGACAAGGGGGATAAGATACTAAAGAGATATCTTAGACCAAGAAGATAAGATGTCAATATTATATCACAGACAAGGGGGATAAGATACTAAAGAGATATCTTAGACCAAGAAGATAAGATGCCATTATTATATCACAGACAAGGGGGATACGATACTAAAGAGATATCTTAGACCAAGAAGATAAGATGTCTTTAGTATATCACATACAGGGGGATAAGATACTAAAGAGATATCTTAGACCAAGAAGATAAGATGCCTTTAGTATATCGCACACAACAGGTATATCATCTACTAGGGGGATAATATAATGAGTACATATCTAAAAACATATCTAGAGAAGTGATACCATGGAAGATAAACTCTTGATGAAAGGGACAAACCGACTGGGGATAATATTGTTGAATGTATCGATAGGATCGAGGACAAGGATCTTTGGCGTCATATAAAGCCTGAGAGTTCCTAGTATAATAATGTAACCTGCTCCCCCCCCCCCTAAAAAAGGAAAACAAAACTATTTATCAGGTGTGAGACTTTTACCTTCTTCTTACAAAGATATACTAATAAATGTCACTTGAGAACCGATAAATACAAAACTGTCAGCTTGTCATGTACGAACATTTTTACAGTTACAACATTGTCTAAACACTGTCCAACCTTGTTGTTTAGAGACAGCCATACATATTATAAATGTATCACTGTTTTTGTCATATATATATGTATATATATCCCCCTGTGGAAGAGCGGTAAATCTACGAACTCACAACGCTAAAATCCGGGGTGTGATTCCTCCGCGGTGGACGCAGCAGATAGCTCAATGTGGCTTTGCTCTAAAGCAAACAAGTTATATATATAGCGGTGTTCCAGGTCTCGTACTGTCCTAAAAATTGCATTTTCTCATTCGTCGATCGTGTTCATCCTCGTGACCATGAATACCTCTCAACACTGCTGCGATTTCGATTGTTACAAGTTTCTGTGAAGAACAACGAGATGAATCTTAGGTCACACATCTTGTAAACGCTTCTAAGATCCTCAAGTGTACGTGGACCACAGCTTCATGGACCACCTTTAAGCAAACAAAAGGTACAAAATTCCGTTGGAGAAATTGACACGTATGTGGTCAAATGCGATTACTGTGATTTAATTGTTTTCACTATTTTCATGAAAAACAGCCCTTGATCGTGAAGTGTGATTGGATACTTGTGAAAATTGGGTTTGTGAATATTTGTGGACTTCAACTGTGTTTATCAACTTGTAGGAAGACGTGTCCAGCACCATCACTTTTTTTTTTTAATTTTTCGCAAAGTTATTCTCTTAATCAACTTCCCCCTAGTGGCACAGCGGTATGTTTGTGGACTTACAACGCTAGAAACCGGGTTTCGATACCCATGGTGGGCATTGCACAGATAGCCCATTGTGTAGCTTTGTGCTTAACTTCAAACAAACAAACTTAATCATCTTACTGATGAAAAACATTGTTTTGATTGCTGTCCGAAACGCTGTTCAAAATTTTGTTTTCTTTCACACTGTATACCTTGACAACTTTGCTATACGAATATCTTTACTCTAAACGGGTTGTGAAATATTTCTCCTGCCATAACTCACCCTTGACAGCACTGCACTGTCGAATGGTCGGGAATTCACGTGAATCAAATATATTTCGCAAGTAGTGCCATTGCTTGCATCTGTGCCAACTTGCCACTACATCAATACGGGCAAATCGTTCTTATAACGTGATAGTAATCCTAACCTTACACATGTATAATACAGGCAATTCTTAGCTCTATGTATATATATATATATACAGGTTACAGACAAGTCATTAGAGAAACGCTATGTTGGTTCTAAAGCTGTACTGTTTTAAGAGATGTTTGGTGTAAAAACTCAGTAACGGAATAGTATTATAAAACAATAAATATAAAACTCTTCACATTGTAAGCTAGTTTAAAGGAGTTATTCAGAGTTATCAGTAGGTGGAAGTGAAATATTGAATTATTGTTTCAATTTTAGTTTAAAAAACAAAACAACTATAAAACTTTGGTTGTTTGTTGTTAAGCATAAAGCCACACCACGATGTGTGCTTGTTGTTAAGCGCAAAGCTACACCACGATGTGTGCTGTGCCTACTACGGGGGGGGGGGGGTCTAAAAAAGAAGCGTTAAATCCTGAAAGTCTATATCATAAAACCACGTGTGTGTAGTTGTGAAGGCACCAATACAGGGGTAGGAAACAAGGGTCATGGAATCATAAAACCACGTGAGTAGCTGTGAAGGCACCAATACAGGGGTAGGAAACAAGGGTCATGGAATCATAAAACCACGTGCGTAGCTATGAAGGCACCAATACAGAGGTAAGAAACAAGGGTCATGGAATCAT